AAGGAGAAAGGAGAGAGCCCTCCTTCTGAACCGAACCTAAATCCAAAGCTTAGGGCGGAGGTGAGGAGGCTGAGTGTGCAGTGTCTGCGGGAACCAGAGCCTCTGCAGGGGCAGACAGCCCTTCCGGCCAGCCGGCGACTCCCCTGACTCTGAGCTTCCTCCAGTTCCATAACAAAGGTCCAGGAGCACAAGGAGAGGAAACTGAGAAAATGTGTCCTGTGCTCCAAATTCAAGCCAAGAACAGGACAGACATCGTGAGCCAAATGGAAACGAAGCCAAGAGAGCTTTCTCGGGGCCCTGGCTTTTTTCCTCCCAAATGCTGAAACCTGTTTAACTGCTTAGTGTGAACTCCAGTTCTGGGAGACAGTTCACTATGGGAAAGGAAGTGTAACTAGCACTGGAGACCTTGCCTCCATTCTTAGGGCATAAAGTCAGTGAGTGCTACCCATTGATTACTGAAAGAAAGAAAAGAGAGGGGGAGTGAGATGGGGGCGGGGGGAGAGAGAGAGGAAGCAGGGGAAACACTTTAGGGATTATACTGCAAGAGGTTATCCTACATAGCTGCAGGAAGCAGTGCTTGCCCCTCCCTTCCCAGCCCAGTGAACCCCCAGATTGCATTTTGCAAGTGCTTCGACCCACAGTCACCTACATCATGTGCATAGTAATTTGATCAATTTCTTCTGCAGTTCGGACCGGAAAGTAACAACCCATACTTGCAAGGTGCTTTATGGTTTGCAAAGCAATTGCACAATTGTCATGATGTTTTGTCCTTCATGACTACGCTGTGTGGGAGGTGTTCCTGTCCCCAGCTCAGAGGACACAAAGGTACAAGGGTCCAAGCCAAAATTAGATGGCAAATCCCACAACCTCTCTTTCTGTGTACTGGGCTCACCACACCCTAGGAGAAGGGTAATGTGCAAAAACAGCCTTTGTCCCAACAGGGAGAGAAACTGAGGCACTGTCTAGAGTAATGGCTTAACAAGATGACACAATTGAAACCACTAGCTTTTAGTTTGAACACACCTCAGAGTTTCGATTTACTAAGAGACACGATTACCTAAGACAAAAAAGCCCTCCAAAAACTAAAGGGCAGGGCTGTGATGGAGAAGTGACCCAGAGGCACCGCCAAGAGGCCAAATCCAGATAGCGTCACACCCAGTGGGTGCAGGAAGGATCTCCCTGCGCTGTGTCTCATGGTGTGTGCGTGTGATTACTGCATCCTGGCTATCATCTGTGCCTTGTGAATAATGTCATTCCAGGGCTTCTGGAGAAGAGGCATGGAGCTGCAGGCCCACAAACAGTCCCGGGCAGAGTCTGAGTAATCCTGAACATCTGAATCACAAGAGAAGGCCGGTCTCCCTTTGGAAGCAGAACTGCATGATGAAACCTCGCTGAGCTCTGTGAGGGGAGAGCAGGGACAGGACCTGCTGCCCCAAGGCTGACTGCTTCTCTGCCTCTTGCTTTTCTCCTTTGGCCCGCTTGGCTCGCCCTCTGGGGCCCACCCTTGGGGGCCCACTTTCCGCTTTGGAAGTTGCTCACGTGGGTTGGCAGTCTGGGGCACTGTGAGGAGCAGCCCGAGCTCCACAGTGAATGTGCCTGGAAGCAGCCTGCCATCCCAGCCCCAGAGAGGCACCTTTGCTCTCGGGGTAACTCTCCAGACTAAGCACAAATCCCAGCGAACAGACATGCCACAAATGGGGTGGGTGTGTTCTTCCCTGCCAAGCCCTTTTGCTGTACTTAACTGTTTTTCCTACATAGAAATTAGGCTGTCTCCATGATGCGAGACATCCTTCCTTTCTAGAATTTCCAGGAAGCATAGTTGGCTCCCACACATTAGATTTAATGTAATTCAAACCAAGGTTTGAGGCCATTTCTCCCAATCCAGGAAGAGCTGTGAGCTTGGCAATCCAAATGGAAAAGACACACACACACAATGTGGAAGTGGATTCTGTGGGTGTTTCTCTCCTTTAGATTGTGTGTGTGTTTCATAAAGCACATAGGAGAATTAAGCTCAAAAAGCAACTGCTTGGAGAGATAGGAACTCTTGTAATTCATGTTGTGCATAATGGTTTTGGCAGGCCCAAGCACAGAAATTTCCAGAAGGGTTTGCGTGGCAGCAGTTCTTAGCCAATTCACATTTTTTAGCTGTCCTGGCCAGCTGCCCAGCCTGCAGAAAAAGTCTTGTATCTCCCCAAGTTTGGCTGGCCCCACTGACGAGTTTCCAAACTGCACAGCAACATTGGATGAGCTTATTTTCAAGTGCCAAAAAAACTCCTGCTACTTATATTGTTACTAAATACCAGATGTGCTTAATAAAGAGCAAGCGGAGCCAAACCTAGGGTAATCAAATAACCTATCATTAACATTTTCTAAATACAAAAAATGCAATTGGAACACCAGATTACTGTTTTTCTTTGTTTGCTTTACGCCCTATTACTGGAACCCCTGGAGTGACAAGAACAGGACACAGGCGGGGAGGCCCGCTCTGAAGACGCTGTTTACAATCACACCCTGCACATCTGAAACATGTGTGAGAGAGTCGAGGCTGCACAGATTTCCTCTGGGCTCTGCTTCTCACAGCCCCCTCTCGCCAACACACACACACACACACACACACACACACACACACACACACGGAGAGGAGAGACCCTATGGGCTGAGGCTATTGCCGCCTATAAAGCACTGAAAGGCTGAGGAGCAAGGGAATTTGCCTTTGAAGGAGAGACATATAGAGGGAGACAGGAGGATAGCATCAGGGACTTTGCAAATTAGAGTACGCAAGAGTTGGAAGCCACTGCTGCTCTCAGAAAAAATGCAGACGTTCTAAAAGGCTTGAAGAGACAAGAGGACCATGTGAAGCTCTGCCTGGTCTTAACTGAGAGATCTTGAAGTATTTGTTTATACAAATTCCCTTTGTCACCCTGTTATTACTTTTTCGTGGTGGGGGAGGAAGGGACAGGTAAATTTCCTGGGAATCCAATGGGAAAAGAAGTGGCTGGAAGATTCTTTTCTCTTGCTCCATGCAAGGTCATCCCTGTGTCACCAGTAAGCCAAGGATTCTTTTGTTCAATTGGGATGGAAATCATGAATTGGCCAAGTGCAACTCTGTTGGCAGCTCTGGGCTCTGAGTGCCAGTGGCCTCCAGCCCTTAGTATTACAGCTGTGGTCCCTGGTGCCCTCGGCTCCCAGCTCTTAGTGTTGTGGCCCTCAGCAGCTCCCAGTTACCCCATCAGCTTCTCAGCAGCTGGCTCATGGCCGGCCCTTTTGGCAGCTTTCTGGATGCAGTTGGCTCTCTGGGGGTCTCCACTGGTCCCTGCTGGTCTCTGCTGCAGGTCTCTGGAGTGCTTCAGGGCTGGAAACCCCTAGTGTTACTGGCTCCTTTAGTGTGGGCTGCTCTGCCCACACTATGTGAGATAAGAATCCCAAGTGTACAGGTATACAGGACCACCCAAGAGAGGCTTTATTGGGACCCGTGCTGAGCACAGCGGGTGGTACCCAGGAGGGAGCCTCTTCCACTGACCTAGGACAGTGAGGAGCTGCTTACATAGTACAGGAGGGGGCCACACATGTATAGTCTGCGCATTTGCAGACCTGCTTTAGAACTTTCACAGTAAAGGGGGTCAGGGTTGGGTTGGGACATCAAAAGTGGTGTAGGGTGGGGTCATCTGGCACAGGTCTGAGGTTCAAACCTGCTATGGCCCAGGAATATTCTCCTGGAGCAGCAGGAGTGGGGAGCATGTCACTGTCCAAGCCTACCTCCTGATAGCATGGCCTGGAGGCCCTGAAGGCCCCCAGCGATGGTGGGGACCCAGGAATGTTAGCCTGGGCCACTTCTGGAGGAGGGCATGATGGATGCCATTTGTCCTGGCCCCTTCTGGCTGTCAGATGGAAGAGGGGAGGTCACTCTCATTGCTTTTCCACCTTACCTGCTATCTGGGCCCCACCCTTGCCCATGCACTAGGGCAGTGATGGTGAACTTTTTAGAACATTCACTGATACAAACAGCCTGCTGCAGCATGCATGCCATAGCTTCCCCACATTGCACTAGGGCCTTGCTTCCCTGGACCTCTGTCTCCCACTTCTCCAGTCCCCCGCAAACTCACAGTTCCAAAGAGATGCAAAGAACATATTTCTCATCCTGAAGTTGGTGGGTACCCTTGGTACACGGCGAGCAGGGGTGTTTAGGGGCGAAGTGAGAGAGAGATGGAATACGACAAAATGAAATTGTATAGAGATGGGATCTTGCAATAAGAAATCCTAGAACCAGAAGTTCTTTTGGAAATATTTGTTATCTGTTTTAAGACAACCATGTAATAAAAGAGTAAGTGTCCTTAGAGAGTTCTTCACTACAAATGTATTATAACCCAACTGTGCCTCGAACGCCGTCTGCCAAGCCAAACTCTGGGCGGGCAGACGCAGTGTTTCTCTGTGGTGAGAAGCCATCGGGGGATAAGCCAGCCAGCTCTACTTAGCAACGAAAGGCTTTGAAAATGTTTGGTTGGAGTGGAATTGTAAATGTGAATTGTAAAATCCTGTGATGTCTACCACCCCTTCTGAACTTGCCATAGGCACATGTGCTTTGTGCTCCAGATATGATTTTGGAAAGTGGGGTGTGAATCCACATGTGACACAGAATATTGTTTTATATGTGCCAGGGATACTCCTGAGCTTCCAGGGAAGAGGCTGGAAAGAGTAGAACTGGACCTCATGTCCTGTCCCTGGCCCACGCAAGCCCTGGAGGTCAGCATTAGTATCAGCCTTTTCCCCTTTCTCTGCTGGGCCACTGAAAGGAAAGGGCTGTCCCAGAGAGGGGTCAGAGCAGGGCTGTTTTGTTCCCTGAGATGCCAGAGGAAACCGCCCAGGCGACACTCATTGCAGAGGGCAAGTGAAGGCTGAATCTCCAGAGCAACACAGCCCATCTCCTTGGAGCTGTTTATGTTGCATAACTCAAATAAACACAGCCGAGCTGTGGCTGCTCCTGGCAGGACCAGGCTGGGAGCAGCAGACAAAGGGCGTCTTTTCCAGCTGCGGGGTCAGAACCAGCTCCTTTAGAACAGTAAAAGTAATAATACTTGGGAACACCAGTATAATGCTAACAGGGTAGCATGAGTAAATTAAATGAAGGAGTTGCTCAAATTAGGACTTGGACAGTCCCTTTATTTTGTTTAGTGAAAGAAATAAGTCCTAATCAGAGCCTGGGAGAGGCAGAGAAATTGACCCCAGATTTCATTTGCAGGGTAGGGAGAGGAGGGGATGCCCGTGGATTGTCTCAGCACATAGAGGTTTGGGGAAGGTGGCCAGGAGTGAGTCGGCTGCTTTCTCAGTGATCCAGTGGCAGCTGGCTTTCTGAGACTCCAGCCATTTCTCAGCCCAAGTGATGCAGGGCTTCCCCTGCCTTCTGGAAGCATCGGACAGCTTACACGGAGTCTGTGTGAAGAATGAAGAAACAGGTCAGGGGTGCAGGCCCCAAGCCTGCAGAAAGCCCATGCTGAGGCTGAAAGCAGGCGAGACCCTGGGAAGCCTCTTTCATCAGCACCCTGCAGTCTTCAGGGACAGCAGCCTCATCGTAGTCTCCAGGATAAGAATAGAAATACAAATTGAGAGCACAGCTTGTAGCTGGGGCTGATGGCACCAGCTGCCAACAGTTGCCCTGTTAGTAGGCTATGGGGACACGAGAGGGAGTATTCTCTCCTCGAAGCTTGTGTTTAAAAATGCATCTTTCTTCAAAGCTGGCCTGGGGGTGGATAAGGCCTAGGAGACCTACTCTCTCTGTGCTGATCAGGTGCAAATATATACTGTGATTTGCTGCAGCTCACTTACCTCTGTGGGCTGGCTGGGGCCAGGTGACAGCAACAGGGATCCCATGTCTCAGCAAGGTAATGTTTTAGGCAATTTTTGGATGAAGGCCATGCTTCAAAACCTTTCCTCCAGGGAGCCTGCCAGGTACGTGGGGGCCCAGGGATGAAGGAAGATGTGGTTCGGGTGATGTTTCACTGCTGGGGCTTGACAACTCCCCTTTCACGAGTGTGTCGCTGAAGACACCGAAGACACTGCTTTTTCATCTTCCTTATTCTCAAAAGCAACACCATTCTTTTCTACCTCCTATGGCTGTTTAGGAGTAACAGCTAATAGATGATTCAGAAGTACTTGGCAAATGACGTTCAGGCCCAAGTGCTGAATGATCTCTCCCTCACACCAGCCTCCCGCACACAGTACCCCGTTTCCCCTTCCATGCCATGCTGACAGATGGCTGGTCTGTACACAAAAGGTCTCGGCACCTCCGTAGAGGTTTGCTTTGCAGGAACCTCTGAAATCCTTGCAGGTCCCAACGTGTGCTCTGGGTAGAAAACAGCAGGCGATGAGCTATGAGACCAAGAGGTTGCCAGGACCCCCCATGGACTCCTGGCTTTGGCACCACTTCCTGGGGGAGAGGCAAGGGAACCGATCAGCACAGCGGGTCGAGTGCAAGTCTGCCTCTGTGAAGCCCTGGGGACTTCCTTCTTGAAAAACAACTGGGACAGTGTGACAGCTGTTTAAGGATGCCAAAGGCAAGGGTCCTGGGGGAAGCTTCCCCAGGGACAAATCTGCTTGCAGGAATCTGTTGTGAGTGACAGGACAGACAGACAGCAGGAGAAAGATGGCCAGGCCCAGGTGAGTATTCTAATTAGTCCGTGATCAGAAGCACCCAGCTAAAGAAACTCTGGAACGGTTACTGAAGAAATGGTGTAATGACAATAATAATAACAGAGATTATTACTGTTGTCTTTAGGGGTGTGGAGCAAAGGTGTACCCTCAAGGTGTGGTCCCTGGGAGAACCGGGAGAGTTTACCATGTGCCAGTCCTTGACTCCCCTTTGATGGTTCATGTGGGGTCTTCATAAGCAAAATGAAATTCAGATATTCGGTGTGAATACACTGAATAAAGTGAATGTTTAAATTTTTAAAGAACTTGTTACAGTAAAAGATGAACTACAATTACTCCCCCTCAAAATATTCCCCCTTACTTCAAACACACTTATCCCATTGTTCTGGCTACTTTTTGAAGCTGTTCTGGAAGTCCTTTTTGTTGAGTGTCTTGTTACACTGTTGTGGCTACCTGGATGTCTTGAATGGATTCAAAATATGTACCTTTCATGGTCATTTTGACTTTGGGAAAGAGCCAGAAGTTGCACAGTGCCAGATCCAGGGAATAAGGTAGGTGACTGTGATGTTTTTACACGCCTGCCTTTCCGTTGGATGACACTCAGCAGAAGCATTCACTGTATTTTTGATCACACTTCATAAAGACACTCATGAGGGAGGACTTCCAGAACTGCTCAGAAAGTGGCAAGAACAATGGATAAATGTGTTTGAAGGGAGGGGGAGTATACTGAGGCAGATTAATGGCAATGTGTCTTTTACTGTAATAAATATTTTAAATTTAAACATCCGCTGTATACTTTGATCATCCCTTGTATAGTTGCCAGGTGAATGTTTGCAACTACTTTAAAATCCAGTTTGTTATATGAGATGTTGTTCCTCATGGCAAGTGGGTGATGGAGCAAGGAGAAAGAAGGGAACAAATCTCACCCTGGAGATGTAAAAACAGATCATGTTGGCTCGAGAGTCCCTGTCTCTTGAAAGGTGGGGGAAATTCCTTTTATGGATGCCACTGTACTTAGACCCAGCAGCCTGGCTCTGGCACCTGGTACAACCACTTCCTAACAGTACTAATGGAGGCTCATATGCTGAGCTCCTGAAATTCCAGGCCTCACTCTGGAGCTGGAGCCCAGGATGCCTACCTGTCAGGTGGCCACACTGTCCCCACCTGCAGCTTAGTGCATGTCATCTGCAACAACAAAGGCAGAGCCTGTGTGCAGACAAGGCCTCCTGCCTCTGAGAGCACTCACCATGGGTGGGTGTCCTAGAGTCCCCTTCTGTTCCCTAGAGCAGGGACACAGAGCTAAGAAGTCAGCCTGCCTCTTCTCCCTGCAAGCTGACCACAGAGCCAGGAACGTGTCACCTTTAATCCAGGACACCTGCTACCAGGCTCTGAGGCCTTCTTACCAGCTCACCAGGTGGCTTCCTTTTCCCCTGAGCTACATAGTTCCTGCTTCTGAGAGGTGCTCCCTCTTCCTATCCCTAGGGTAGCACCAGGGACACTGAAGGCACAGAGGGAGGAGACTAGAGAGGAACTCAGGCACCAGGGAGAAGGTGGCTGGTTTTGTTCCTTCTGGATGAATCTCTAAGCTTTGGCAGCCCTGGCAAGGCCCAGGCCTGCAGCAAACCTGTCTGTGTGGGTCTGTCTCAGCATGCTCTTTGCAAAGTCAAGGTCTGCAATGTAAACTTTGTTCTCTCTTCCCTTTCTTCAGCGATTCACTCATGCAGCTCTTTGCTGCCCTTCCTCTCCGTGTCTCTGGTGCTGAGACCTGAGGTCACCCACTCTGGAATACGCCATCTCTGTTGGACAGGCCCTTGAGGCAGCCATCCTCGAGGCAGAGGGCAGCTCGGCAGGCAGTGCTGGCTCCCGAACCTGCTGCGGTTTGGGTTTCTCAGTGGCACTATTTTTGGAAGATATTTTTTTATCCTTGCTCTTTATCACAAGCCCGCCAGGCAGAGGACAGCAGAATTGCAAGCTTGAATGGGCTTGTTTGACAGGCCAGCTTTCACTCTGGGTGCCACTTCAGACTGTTAACAAGGAGCTCAGAGAGAAGCAGAGTAATTTCACACTAACTCCTCTCTGTAATTTGCTTTTGAGTTTAGAATGTCGTGCTTCCATCTCCCCAGTGGTGCAAGTGAGAGGATAGGATGTGCATGGTCAATGAGTTTGCAGTAGACGCACCGAAAGGCCTCCTTTGCTCTGAAGCCCCACCCTAGGGACACTGATCGACACTTCAAGTGAGCCTTTTCTAGGGACAGATGGGTGTGCTCAAAAGGATTCATGATAAATTGCCGGCTTGGGCAGAAACAGAGAGCTGCCTTTAACACATCCCCGTCATTCAAGCCTGTCTCGGGATATCTTTCTCCTCCAGGCAGCATTAGGTGCAGAAGTTGGGGTGGATTTAGGCAAACCCCAAAGCAGGAGAGTCTGAAACTCTGATTAGACCTACTGCTTGGGGAACAGGTCAGTTCCAGTCAAGGAAGGCAAGACTCAGCTTGGAAAAGGAGGAGTTAATAGGTCCCGATCAAAAGAGAATAAAAGGCCTGCCAGCCACAGGAAGTGGTTGAGTTTGTGCTTGGAACCCTAGAGGGGAAAGGATGGAGGTTCAGGGAGAGGCCACTGAGGACAGTCAGCCCGGCTCACTTCAGCAGCGGGAAGCAACGGCTTTTCTTGCTGTGTAAATCTGCTCTGGGAGGCCCTAATCCCACCTCTCACCACCTCTCTCCACATGTACTCCCGTGCTCCCATGGCCACACTGCTTGAGGTCTGTCCAATTTTTCTTCCGGAAGATGGCCGCTAACGTGTCACAGACTTCACCTGCAGATTTTGGACTTGTCCATCTCCATAATCACATGAGAAACCCTTAAGTCATTTTTCTTTCTCTCCCTACCTGTCCCTTCTCCTCTCTGTGTCCCACATCACACACACAGACACACATAGACATTTCACTGATGCACTCATAGACATTTGGAGTCCTCAGATAGCACTGGACTATGCAGTCTAACAGTCACAGTGAACCTGGGATTTTCGGGGGTGCCACTATCCTAAGACTGCTTGCTCCTTTTTGTGGGAGCTACAGTAGTATTGAGTGGGTTATTTGTCCCCATCACACTGTGCTAGATGTTCCAGTGCTCCTCTGTGTAAGATCTGGGACTGGTAGAAGTGGTAGTCAGCTTCTTGAGCAGCTTGCACCAGAGTAACTGTTCTTTGCATAAAACACAGATCTCCGTCATCATTACAAATGTGACCTTGGCCCCTCAGAGAGCCTACGAGATGAACACGATCTGGGTGGGGTGAGTTTTGTCCAGGTAAGGAGTAGTACTGGCATCCCAGTCCCCAGGTGGCTTGAATCATACTACATACTTCCAGGAATGACAGGCTCAGGATCCTACAATTATAGAGCCTTACAATTTCAGAAGCTGGAAAGGATCTAGCAGATCATGTGGGCCCAATGTCCTCATTTTAAGAAAGGAAAAAAACCCTAGTTAAAGTAAAATCTTCCTCTCATCTGCAGTTCCTGTTACGGAGACCTAAATGAATGCTAATTAGGAGACTGGATTGAAGAAACCTTTTTACCTACAACCAGTGTTCATTTGGCAAGATGTTTCTCTGATTCATTAATTGACATGTGCATGCATCCATCCATCTACCCATCTATTCATCCTGCTATCCATCTATTCCTCTCCCCGGTCAGAAGTTGAGACAGATGCACAAGAAGCACAGCTTTGGTTTCTCCTCACCGCCCCTCCTTCCTGTTTGTTTTTCTCTCTGCATTCTGGTGGGGCGTGGTGCGTGTGTGAGTTCAGGAGAAAGGCCATTTGCCATCAGTATCAGTATCCGGGAGATGACTGGAAACTCTTCAAGCCCTCACACACCGTGCTTGGTACCACCCTTGCCAGGACTTCGAGGTCCTGACACCGAATATGTGAGAAGAGAGCTTCTTGGAAGTATCCAAGTTAGCAAAGGGCTGAACAGGAGCCTTCCCTATCCTCTTGGCATCTTCCAAAGCCAGAGCTGGGGCAGCCAGATGAAAGGTGAGGACAAATAAATGTAAATAAATCACCCTTTGGAGCTGCAGCTCCCCTATTTCCTGTGGCCCTAGTGGGTCACTGAGTTAAGTGTTACAGCTGACTGTGAGGGGGGCTGGGCCAGCCCATGAGCAGTAATGACGTTGGTTTTTACATGAACTAAGATAGGGGTAATTAAATCTTGCACTTCAGGCCATATAAACTGATCTCCACAGGAGGGCAAGAATTAATTTAATTTTACCCTCACAACCCCACGCACCCTTCCACCAGCTTTGT